CACACACACACACACACACACACACACACACACACACACACACACACACACACACACACACACACACACGGGCAGATACACAAACTATCCATGAACAACTACCAACCTGTCTTTGTGCCCCGGGGATTAACCAAAACCAGTATTTTGTGTTGAGGTTCATCCCGGTAAACAGTGCAAAAGCAAACCGATGAAGTTTCAAGTTTAACCTGAAAAAAGAATAAAATAAAATAACCACTTTGGTCTTTTAATGTACCAAGGACACAGGAAATTACTGAACAATGAATCACACAGCATTCACTGAAAGAACGCTGTTTCACAGAAGTTAGTTTAATAAGATGTAGGCAACATGAACGTAAAGACCTTACTTGCTCTGAGCTCGCACAGGAACAATTTGGCCAAGGTCGCCCACCCAGCAAAGCTGTCTGCCACCCAACAAACTGCTTCACATGTTCACCCGTCTGTCTACTGAGTTGGTAAAACACCTAGGCTGTGGGCGAATGCCCTAGGGACCACTCTCTTCTGCAGACTTCCCGTCCCAGCAGGCTTCTCCATCCTAAACCTTCCTTGGGCCTCCATCGACAGCAGCAGAGCCATATACCTGCCTCTCATCTGTCCCTGTCAAGTCGATGTCAACTGTCCTTCCCAAGAGCTGGCGGCCCCTCAGGATGTCACCAGGCTGCCTGCTGCCCTAGCTCAGGTCCCCACAAGCAGTCTCAGGAAATGCACATGGCTCTGGTAAGAAACTCAACCCCAGCCACCTGTTTGCTTACCCAAGAGTGAAACAGGGGTCTCTAACATGGACACTGCCCCATCTTTCATGTGCCCACATCCAAAACCTACTTTGTGGCCATCAAACTTTCTGTCCCCACTCTCTAAAGCAAAAGGTCAACACATTCCGTTACTGAGTCTGTTTGGAAAACCGAGACGAGGATAAGAAATTGGAAAAGAATGTGTTGGCTGAGTGAGGCAACCAGGTTGCTTGTAAAAGTTGAGAGCAGCCTCTACAGTTTCAGAGAAGGATTTCCTAAACAAATCCTGGGATCCAGAAACATTTTGGCACCACCGCCTCTTCTCTGAGGTCACTGTTATGAAGAGACCCACAGAGGTTATATGCAGCAGGGTTACCCATGGGATGGATATCCAGGCGGTCACTAGACACAATGTTCAGCGTCCAACCCATCTGGAAAGTGCTTTGCACTCAGAGAGTGAGCTTCCCCTTAAAAAGTATGAACAAGCTAAAAATCAAAAGGAAGCACATTAAAATGTTTACAGTGGTCAACCACGGAGAGTGGTACTTTCTCTGTCCTTATTCCTGGTTCTGTGTTCTGTTTTAGGACCAGAAATACCAGTAAGGGTTACTCTGTCTGAAATGCAACAGGATGATTGGGAGACCGGAAAAAAGAGCTCCTTGAGAAAAGAGCACCAAAGCGATGTGACACCACATAACTCCAACCTCTTCCTCCACTTTTTATTTTGAAAAAAAACCCTAGATACAAAAGGAAAAGTGAAACCTGCTCAAAGCAAGTGGGAGGTCCGGTGTGGAGGTGATTTCAGCACGGTAAAGGGCAGGAAATCACTCCTGTCTTGGAAGGAGCCCCCAGAATGGTAGGAAACCAAGTGATCATTTTCATGAAATTATTTTCTTTAGAAGAAGGAGAAGCCAAAAGATGTCCAGTCATTTCAGCATTTCTATCTTATCAAGAATTAGCAACGGCCTCATTTTATGTTTTTGTTAACAACATTGACTTTATTCGCTCACTGAGCATACTCCCGAGCGATTTTTAAAATCAGCCCATAAATACACGTGCGGACTGAGAACACAGCTTTCGGACAGAGCCCTTGGGTAGCAAGACAAAAGGTCAGATATTCAGTCCAAAAAAAAAAAAAAAGTGGGACCATAGAAATGCAAGCAATCAAAGCAGATGGTTGACACTGCATCTTAAAGAACTTCTGGGCGAACTCTTGCATTTCACTGCCCTTCTGACTGAAACGTGTTTTCCTTCTTCCACCTCTGCGGCCAGCCTGCAAGGCCTCTGCCACCTAACTCTCAGCACCCAGTCTGGGCGCGGGTGTTGCGCCTTTCTGGAGCAGCACCACTAGGGGGCGCCGAAAGCGAGCGAGGACCGAGCCCTCCCTCCCGCTCCACCTACCAACCTGCACAGCCGGGTGCCTGCGCCCCACTCTCTCCAGAGCCCCTGGGGAAGCCGCAGTCTTCATTCCCCCGGGGCAGCTGGCCTGCACTGTAACAGCCCTGTCCTCCGCAACCAGCTCTGCCCGCCAGAGAGCAAGGATTTCCGGTGGGAGGGAAACCTCACACAACGCACTGGAGAGATCTGAAGGAAAGGTGCTGTTCCTTTCTAGTCCCGACACACAATGCATAGGGTCAGTGCCAAAAACCATAATCGTTATTCACAACACGTTCAAAACCCATAGTACTTTTGAGACCAACGAGGGAACGATGCCCTCACTTCACCAATGCAGAAACTGAGACCCAGCCAGGCATTACCTACGGCTTCTCACTTAATCCTCATAAAAGCACTATGAGGTAAGTACTGCTATTGTCCCAGCTGTAGAGATGAGAATACCATGACCAGAGCGGCTAAGACACTGGCTCAAGGTCACACAGTAAGAGTCCCAATCCGGGATTCCACCTGCTCCTCAAGATAGAATTATGTATCCATTCCACCAGGGGTTTTGCTGTTGTTTTGTTTGGCTGGGTTTTGTTCTAAACCTAGGGCGCTCCTCTGTGATGTTCTATTCTCTGAGTTAGATGTGGCAGGAACAGCACACCTACCTGCTCCAAGGAGGGAAGACAGAAGGTCCGTGCTGAGGGCGGAGCCAGAGCCAGAGCCGCCTCCCGCTGGCCCTCCAGGTCATCCCCCAGGAGATCCACTGGGTAAGTGCCTGCTCCGGGGAAGGGGCACAAGGCGCCATTAGTTTCATTCTGTGGTTAAAGGGAAAGTCGCTTTTTTTTAAGATTAGAAAAAACAAAAACAGAATATTTGCTTTGCTTTTTTTTTCCCCCAGTACCGGGGATCGAATTCAGGACCTTGTGCTTACGAGGCAGGGCCAGCACCACTGAGTTACATCCCCCGTGCAAGAATATTTGCTTTTAACATGGCTTCTCTTGTAGGAGGAACCCAAACTATAAGTAAGAACAACACAGCAGGTAGGTGATAGGAAGCAGGAAGACAGAGCTTTCCCAAATGGAAAGGGGATGGAGAGACAGAGGACGGAGAGGAGGAGAGGGGTCGGGTGTATCGTGTCCCGTGTCCGCCCCACCCCAGGAACGTGCTGCAGACCTGGATTGTTAGAGAAAATGATCTGAAAACAACGGGGCTAAGGCGCTGCCTGAAGATACAGCAGGGTTAGTGATTACCTAATCTGCACAGTGCGTCTCCAACGTTCACTGTAGTGTACAATTAGCCTTTCGCTAAGCTTGACAATATTAACAATTTAAAAACTGAAAAATAAAATAATCAGAGCATTCCCCTCTCCCCTCAGACTATCTGGGAAACTTCTTTTCGCTGACCCAAACTACAGAGTGACTTCCTGAATCCTTTCAGCAGCCAGCATGGTGGGCTGGCGCCTCAGAAGCTGAAAACAGCTGGTCAGCATCATGGAAACGGTCAAAATCCAGCCCGGGCTCTCCTCGTCTGGCTGGCTTATACTGTGGTGCAGGTTACTAAGATTCTGCCAATTCTGCCCCTACTGGGCACCTCTGGTCACAGTAAGTGTGAGCAGCGGACTGAATGAGTAAGAAAACCGCACCTCCGAACACAGATAAGCTACTGAACATACTCACGTGCAAAGAAATTAAGTGCAAGTTATTCTCAGATTCGTACTCACTGGGTCTTCCCTGCTGCTGAAAGATCACAGAGAACGGAGGATGGCAAGAGCCACAGTGGTGGGACATGGTCTTGCATGGAACCTAAGCCCTGAACCCTTGCTTTCCACCTTGGTGGAAATGTTACAGACACACAGGGAGATAAATTACACAAGAAAAACGGTGGGGCTCTATATCTGTGCAATCTACGTGCACACATTCAACCCACCACAGACAGGAACCTCTGGGAGAAAAACCACATCTACAGGAACAAAAGCAGGCTTTTTCCTTTAGTCCTCCAGGGATACCATATAACAAGCACTTATGCAGTGTTACAAAGTAACAAGTACTCCAGGGTCTTAGGAATTATAAATCACCTGAGGGCATAGGCAAATGTTCCATTTTATATAAGGGACCCATGCACCTGCAAACTTCGGCATGGGGAGGAAGGGTCCTCAAACTAGTTTCTTGTGGATCTTGAAGGACAACAGTGTATCGTTCCTCCATTCAGTTCTTTAAAGAATTTGGGAGCGGAATTCACACACATGCACACACATTACAAATGTTTCAATAAAGAATCAACAGTACATTCAGTGGTGATGAGTGCCAGTGATGAGCTACAAAGCAGACAGACTCTCGGTGTGGCCGAGATGTGTGTGTGTGTGTGTGTGTCTGTGGCTTCTCCATACACAAACACATTCAGGGAAGCCCAATCTTGCCCTCAACTTGCTGAGCCAGGAAACCCCAGCGCCAGTCAGGTCTGCAGGGCCCTGGGCGGACCCTGTGCACCTTCGGTCCTCCTCGCCGGACCTTTGGGTACACAGCTCCTTTAGAGCCAGGTGACTCCAAGGCGACACTCCCGACGCCCATACCTACCTTAGTTCACAGGCTCTGCCTTCCCTCCCCTGCCCACCCTCCTCCAAAGAGCAGAGCAGAGGCCACTGACAGCATCATCGGGGTCCCAACACCACCACCTGCCCTTGTTTCACAGAATCCCGCTCCCCTCCAACTTACAGGGAGGATGCAAAGGCCTCACGGGCAGGTGGCAGCCCCGAGATGTGATGGCATCATCTGGGCAAAACCTCCAGCGACTGATGGAAACCACCAACTGCACCATCCAATTCCATGTCCTGTGGGTGCTGAACAATCCTGCCAGGCTCCTTCTGCTTCTCCAGCCTCCAGGCTCATCACAGATGCAACCAGCATTCTGGGGAGCCTTCCTTGAGCCCCCAAAGGAAAGGACTGGCACTAAAGGGAACACCGAGTTCTGTGTTCCAATCACAGCTCGACCTAGACAGGGATCAAGGCCACCTCCGCTCTCCTCAGCGCCCCATCTCACACTCGACCTTGTTTTTCATCATGGTCCCCTGACCCAGAAACAAGGAGAGCTGCTGGGCTTTCTGAGCTCAGCACAGCTTCCGGTCTTGCCCAGCCCTGCAGGAAAATGCCTCTCTTTGCCTTAGAACTGCTGTGCATTTCATCAAGTTGATCTGGTGGCTCCCAAGGATAGGCAGGGAGATTGGGTGAACCTCCCAACAGACTGGAAAACTGGAAAGGGGGCCGATTTGACCCTAGGCCCCTTCGTTGTCCCGTGGAAAGCAGTTGCTATGGCTACTGCTCTCCAAACATGCTCAGCATCACCAGCTCTGGCAGGAAGTAGGGCTCCAACCTTGATTTCTACCCTGTTGCTGGCCCAGTGTCCTGAGGGAGATCTTAGTCAGACGTGGACCCTCAGTCCAGTCCACTGAGGCTGTGGGGCTGACAGAAGAGCGCTACCACCAGCCCCACAGAGAAGCTGACCTTGTCCCTTGAGAATATCCCTCCTGTCAGCAGGAGTTGGAGGACACCATGGTCATCGGGGAGGCGTCACCCCCTGCTAAGGCCACTAGGCCAGAAACCTGGCCCCTTCCTGATTTCTCCAGGCTGCCAAGGTCACCTGCCTAGTGTCTCTGATCGTGTGTGGTCAGGAGAAACACAATGCATGTTTCACTCCTCACCACGAAATCACTTTCCCTGCAGGTTATGCTGCTCGGGCCATCAGACCCCCTCAGAGAACTCTGTGAACCATGTCCCCACGACATCGGCTGTCTCCCCCGAGGACTCAGAGGCAGCTGACGAGGTGTCTTCTCAGAGCCTAAAGCAGCTGGAAATAGCAGACATGTTACAGCCGGCTGTCCTAAGTGAGCGCTGAATCCTGCCCTCCTTAGGGAAGAGGTGCATTATAAAGGAAACCCTCCTGGAATACAGCAAAGGGAGGAGGACCTTCCTGATCACAAAGTAACATAGAGCCCATACTCAGTTCCGTTCAAGCACTCGAAACGGGGTGAGGGCTCCCATGCACCCACCCTGGGGCAGCAGAGTCACCGCAAGAAAGCACAGAAGTGAGCGGGCCCAGGGTGCCCCTTGACCTGGGGCCTGTAAGTCCCCAGCCATTTTTTGTTGGATTTGTTCTCTAGTCTCTGAGGAAAACTTCCCCTCAGGGAACCTCACTCCCTTCCCTCCCACACAGAAAATGTTGGGGTTGGTTAGCTCTCTGGAAAACTGGGTGGGAGGGAAAACAGAAGCTGTTTAAGTCAGAAGAGGGGAGGGGCCACCCAAGGGCCAGCTAGAAGAAAGACCCCCTCCCCAGCCCAGGAGGAAGGAAGGCTGGGCGACTCTCTCCCTGCCCCCCCACAGCCCCCAGTGAGCCTCAGTAGGTAAACAAGTTCGGTGTTTCATGCAGGCGCCAGAGGCCCAGCCCAGCGCCAGGCTCGCTGGGCCATGATGGAAGGCAGGCTCCGTTCAGGCTTCCAGATGTGAAACGCTAACAGGCTTTAATGGCTTCAGCTGAACAGGAAATATTTTCCCCAAACCAAAAGAATGCAATCTTTTCAGTACAATGTAAAATGCTTTTATTAAAAAGGCACGCAGTTGAAATGATAATTCACTGCAGGCTCTAAAGAAATCCCAATCCCACAACAAACCCCTGAATTTAAGTATTCACTGTAAGCATCTATTGGCATAGGCACCCCAAAAACAAGAATAATGACACATCTGAAAGCATTCATCTAGGGAAGATATTTAAATTACGCACAATCTTTGCACCAAAGCATGAATTCCAGGGTTGCATTAAAAGCAGGCTGGGCCCCGGGCCACTGGGGTCACCCAGCCATCTGCTACCACCACTGCTTGGTGTTATACTGGGTCTTATGCTGCAGGTCGCCTGGGCCCTGCCTAAAGCTCAGTGCCTTTCTCAGCATGCTCCAGCTCCTCTGATGTAAACAACAATGGCAAACAACGACGACCTTGAAAGGGCCCCCTCGATCTGCGCTTTAATCACTGATGCAGTGTCATTTGCTAAATAACTCTCTCCAAACACCACCTCCCCACAAAGATCAGGAAAATTCCTTCATTTGAGCAAAGCCTAATTTTTCTCAGATGGGACTACTATCCGGAGAAACACTAAGGGAGGCATTTTAAAATTTACTAGCCCCACTCTTACGAGCTTGCTCTGTACTAAAATCCACTACCTGGCAGGAACTCTGGGGCATTATGTCATTGGAAAGGCTGGCTCTAATCACTAGAATTTCTTAGTAATGTGGCTTGTCGTTCTGCAACTACAGTTAAGAATAGCTCTTTCTCAGGATAACGTGGGAAAAAAACTTAAGGATACAAAAGTACCAATAGTCACCTCGAAGCTTTTTCCATATTTTTGCTTTCCTGTATTTTTAACACAGGTGACCTGTTTGGTATTTTTTTTCCCCTCACAAATCAAGTTTTTAAAGGAATTTATTATAGATGGAATTCTTATAAAAAAGAAATCCACAGGGGGAGAGTGGAGTGACTGAATTTGGGCCTAGCAGACAGCGAGACAGATAGATAGATAGATAGATAGATAGATAGATAGATAGATAGATAGATGATAGAAATAACTAACTAAATTGCCTGGGCAGGACTCAAACTTGTGATCTTTCTGCCTCAGTTTCTCAAAGTGTGCAAGACTAGTTTCTAGCCAGTATTAGAGACCTCTGTGGGTCCTTGTGACCTTCACTATAAGAATTAGTGGGATGTCCGGGACGTGGTGGCACACGCTTGTAATCCCAGCACTCGGGAGGCTGAGGCAGGAGGATCACTGTGAGTTCGAAACTAGCCTGGGCTATATAGTGAGTTCCAGGTCAGTCTCAACTACATAGTGAGACCCTATCTGAAAAAACAACAAAAACCAAACCAAAACAAACAAACAAAAAGAATTAGTGGGACCCGAGATTTAGCTCAGTGGCTCTGACACCTGCCTCACAAGAACAAGGGTCCGAGTTCGATTCCCGATACCACAAAAAAAAAAAAAGGAAAAGAAAAGAATTAGTGGGAGACACTTAAATGCGGGCGTGAAAGCTTTATTCTTATGCTTAAGCCCAAGAGGCTGCGGGAAGGGTTAGAAAGAACCGACCAGGCCAATTCCCTGTCTCCTACCTCCCGCTCGGCCAGGGTGCAGCCCTCTACCGGTCCGCTCCGGAGCAGCGAGTTTGGAGCCTGCGCAGCGGCTCCTCCTGGCCTCCGCAGGTCTCCCTAGCGTCTTACGTCTCCCCCTAGAGGTGCGTGTCGGGTCTCTTTCTGCGCATGCTCCAGTTCAGGGCGCTTCCGCTTCCTCCTTTGGGTGAGACGACGCCCGTTTAGGTGTGAAAGCCTCAAAGCCTTGCTTCTCAGGCTCGGGAGGTGTTGTCTGCCGCAGCCACAGTCGAACCTTTATTCCTCTCCCAGGCCCACTCCCTAATATCTGAACCTCCTCTGCCTCTGTCTGAACAAGAGGGCAGCAGAAGAAGCTGTGAGGGCTAAACCTGGCGCTCCGTACGCCGCGGCAGTGGGATGGTGCGGAAAAGCTGGAGAGCATCAGATGCCGCTCAGAACTGACAACCAGGAAGCCCTGAGTGTTGTAGCGAGGCATGTGTTTCACTGCACAGGCCAAGCTGTGTGTCTGTAAGCTGTATATTCAGTGTTACACGGAAGAAAAGGAAAGGAGGGAAGGAGAGAGAGGCGGGAAGGAAGGAAGAGGGAAAACGCAGTGTTCACAGATGCAGATGTCACACTGAGCCTCCAGCCAAAGGACCCGGCACAAGACGCTTTAAACTGTTTCTTTTAACTTAAAGAATGGCTATGTTTAGTTTTACTGGTTTGGAATTTGGTCTGTTGGGTTATTTTATGGGGAGACTGCTAGGTCTGGAACCCAAGGCCTTGCACAGACCAAGTACACACTACCACAGAGCTACACCCAATCCCAAATATGTTTGTTTGTTTTTTAAACTGTTGCATTCACACAGTTGTGCAAGGCAGTGCCTGGCATTTATTTAATAGCGAAGCAGCTAAGGTTTGTGCACACATTGTTACAACTTTCCTGGTATTGTGCCCCTGTTTTCCCTAATGCATCTTGTGGAACACCAGCTGTGCAAGATATGCATGGGCTATGCCCATGGAAGGGGCTTTCTGTGCCAGCGTGTTTACAAAATGGTGGCTCTGAGCTGGCTGCTGGGAGCTCTAGGCTCTTATCAGCAAACAAGGACTTGCAGAACACTGCAGCAAAACAAATTCGCTTAACTCAGTATTTATTTCCCAAACTTGTTTAACTAGGGACCCCTTGTGCCAGAACACTGATAGATGACAAAACATACTTTGGAGAAGAGTGCTTCGGAAAGGGCCCACGGCTGTCAGAGAGAGAGAGAGCGCGGAAAGGCAGGTGGCTGGAGGGGACGCTCAGGGCGTGGAGAACCTGCCACCAGGAAACAGCCATGGCAGCGGCAGAGCATCCTCCCCGTAGCAAAGTAGAGAACAGAAGGTGAGCCCGCAAACACTTGGGATATTTTTGTTGTCTTTTAGAGAGCATCTGATTGCCAAAGTATTCTTAGCAAAGCATTTCTTTTTTAAGTTGGAAGACAGAATGTAAAATATGTTCAAATTTTTGAGCAGATGAGCAAAACTGTCAGGAAACGAGGAGGTGCTGTTGGAGGTCTGCAGGTGGTGATGGCAAAGGTTGTATTACTCCTAACTGACAGGCTGCCTGTTGCTTTGTTATCACATATTTAGTATTGGCCAACTTGCAACTTGTCACTGCCTTGGCTGAGAATAAATCACTTGTCCCAAATCTAAGATGGTGGAATATGCAGATGACTTTCTTTGCTGCCCACACAAAAGTTTGTTATCTTAATTGCTTTTAATATGAAGGTCTCAGGAGCTCCACATCGATGCCTCTTACTTTTAGGTAAGTGACACCAGGACCAAACTATTCTTCTTCCCGGATCATTGAATATGATACGATGTGAGACTAAAACGTACTGCTCCTTTGCATTCAAAGTGGCATCATATTTGAGGATACGTGTGGAGTCCTATTTGGGGCAGACAGCAGGAAATATCATCTCAACTATCTGCTTCCAGATGAATGATGATCAGAGATCTTCACTCTGGCGTCACTGCCAGATGCTCAGGGTTTCTTTGCCCCGACCCTGAGCCACTCAATCCCATGTGGCGATTGTTACAGGGATGCTGTGTTTGTCTAACCTTTCCCGGGAAGGAAGAGAGCTTTGGCACATGTACGGACAACACAGAAAGCCCAAGGCATCAAATGCTGAATTTAATTGACCAAGAACTTACAAAAATACCAACCGCCAGTGTCAGTAATACCACAATATGTGGTGGCCCTGAAGCTGGTGGGGAAATGCTGTGGTGGACCAGCTGTCCAGCGCAGGCCCAGAGCCCAGAACCACACAGCGCACAATGAGGCAAGAAAAATAATCTGTCATCACCGTAGTGCTTTTATCCTTAGTCACAGAATAACATTTCTCAGAACTGACCCCAAAATTGTGGCTCTTAATGGACTTCATAAAGCTTTCTCCAAAAATCACAGCCCTCTAAGTTTACCTATTACATTTCAAATAAAACCTCCCAAGGGAGTGGGAAGTGGGTTAGTATCTGACATGTCTGGCTTTGTGCATAGCTACTACAGGAGGTGAAAGGACATTGGTCCTCACCCTGCACAGCCTGCTTCTGGATTAAGTTGTCTCACACTGCTTAAGACTTAGGCTCATTACCCACATTTGCTGCCCTCAAGGAATGGATGGACTTGAACCTACATAATTACTCACTCAGGGCAAAAGCATTTGTTTTTAGACCATTGGCCATGTATCATGGTAACCAAATTTTTACAAGATTTGTATGCCCATTTGTGTAAAGCTGAAAAGTAAATGAAGAAGGGGGTGAAAATGCCTAATATTTGTATCAGGGTTGGTACCAACTTAGTCATATATATATATATATATATATATATTGGTACTGGGGATTGAACCCAGGTCCTAGTGCTTGTGAGGCAGGTGGTGGAACCACTGAGCTAAATCCTTGGCCCCCCAACTCGGTTTTAAATTGAAGAAATAAAAAAGAAATGTAAGATTCTGCCTCCTATGTATGGCATTTCTGAAGTATTCATGGGAGTAGTTTTAGAATAGATAGTGATGTGTTCTCATATTAAACACTCTTTATTTATTTTTATTAATTTATTTATTTTGGTACCAGGGATCAAACTCAGGACCTTGCGCTTGTGAGGCTGGCGCAGTGCCACTGAGCTAAATCCCCGGCCCAAAAAAGTAATCTTTTAAATCTTACATGTGTATAGAGTTTTCTGGTTTACAAAGGGATTCACACATCCCAGCTTGTTTTAAACTTCATGAGCCCCTTAGGCCCAATAAAGCATGGTGTACTGGCCCCATCTTTTCACATGTGGAGACAGAGGTTCAAAAGGGAAAGTTAACTAGTAATGGAGCTCAAAGCCAGATCTAGAGATTCCAGCAGAGCCTTCGCATTCATATCTACTTAGCAACATAATGTTAGCTGTATCTGTAGAGATACCAACTAGGACTCAGAATAGCCCTATTGTAGAGACCACTGAACTTGTAGACACACGTTCATGGCAGCTTTACTTACGATAGGCTGAAGATAGAAGCAACCTTAAATGCACATCACAGATAAATTGGTGCACATATGAAATAAGAAACAGATACAATGGTAATATTATTCGCCTCTGAAAAGAAAGAGAATTCTGACACAACACAGATGGAACTTGAGACCATTACACCATGTGAAATAAGCCAATCATAAAAGGAAAATAATTTATGATTCCACGTATAGGAGGTAACTAACACAGGTAAATTCACAGAGATAGCAAAATAGAGGCTACCAGAGAATTGGGGGAAGGAAAAGAGGAGTTTTTTGTTTATTGGGTACAATAGCTTCTGTTTGGGATGCTTAAAAAGTCCTACAAATGATGGCCACACAGCAATGTGAATATGTGTAGCACCACTGAACTATGCTCTTCAAAGTGGTTGAAATTATAATTTTATGTTACGTATATTTTACCCACAATGAATAAAAATTTTAAAAAGGACTGGTCCTGTCTTCAAATGGCTTGTTTTATATGGAAAGCATAACAAATTTCCACAATTGTTTCATAGTTTTTATTGTGGTAAAACACACATAATGTAAAGTTTACCATTTTAAGTGTACCATTTTGTGGCTTATGTACAATCATATTGTGGTACAGACTTCACCACATCCCTCTCTAGAATTTTCTCATCATCCCAAACTGAAACACCAGATTACAAATTCCAGATGCTCACTCCCCTCTCACCTTCTGGCCATTACCACTTCACTTTCTGTCCATGGGTTTGACTACCCTAGGTATGACATCTGAGCGGAATCACATAGTATTTTTCTACTTGAACTGGCTCTTTTCGCTTAGCTTAGTGTCTTCAAGGTTCACCAATGTTGTGTGGATCAGACTTTCTCACAAGGCTGGGTATTATCCCCTTATGAGTCTATACCACATGTTGTTTATCCATTCACCTACTAATGGACACTAGAGTCCTTCCACCTCTTAGGTATTGTGAATTATGTTGCTGTGAATATGGGTGTACAAATACCTGTCCAACTACATGCTTGTAATTCTTTGGGCTACATATTCTGAAGTGGGATTACTGGTTCATATGGTAACCCCTATGTTGAATTTTCAAAGAAATTTCCGTACCTTTTCCACCATGGCACAAAATTCTACATTCCTATCAGCAAAGAAGCTACAAGAATTTCAGTTGATCTGTGTCATCAGCAACATTGTGTTTTTCTACTCTGGGGGCTAATTTATAGAAGCCATGCTAATGGAAGTGAACTGGTATCTTATTGTGGTTTTTGTTTGTATCTCCCTAATTATAAGTGATGTCAAGCATCTTTTCATTTGTTTATTGGCCATGTGTGTATCTTCTTTGGAAAAATTCCTTTATATTTCTTTGCCCGTATATTCACAATTTTTAATCAGCTTTGAACAACTTGTGAAGAGTAGGAAGATGTACAGCCATCCAGAAAGGGATGAGCAGCAAGGCTGGAGCAAGTACTGAGTGCTTCATCTAGAGCAAATTACAATAGGAGAGTGGAGAGACAGCACACACAGCTCAGGGAAACAATTAGGAAAGTCTGGACTACTGACAGCCATGAAGGTGGCAGGAGAGATTGCAGACTTGGGCCAGGTTCTGGCAATGCACATAACAGAGCATACTGCTGATTGATGAGGTTGCAGGGTGAGGCTAAGCTGACCTACTTCAACCCCTTCCTTCCATATAAGTCAATGAAATTCAGGGAACGGCTTTCTAATTATGATATATTTATGAACTGACATTGGAAAGAGTCTGTTATGATCCTAGCTTTACCAAAGTGTTAAGTTGAAGAACATACCAATAGAAAAATGGGTTGAACATTATTCTAAGATACTAAATATTTTTCCTAAGGTACTAAAAACTGAGCAAGAATGAAAAATTAGATGAAATAGCCAGAAAAGAGTGGCTTATATATGTTGGACTGAGACCTAGGGAAAACTGAAGAATGATATTTTGGCTTTTCTCCACATTAAGCCACACTGGTGTTTGGGCTGAGGGTAAGGGCACCAACTTTGAGGTCATTCAGACTTGGTTTCAAAAATCTTAACATGATAAAGCAAACTGCCATGAAAGAGACAGCACAAGCTACAGAATCAGCCTCAAAAAGACTATAGATATTGAAGTAATATAGAAGATAATCCTGTTAAATATTTTTAAATTTTTAAAAATAAGTTAAAAAGCCAAGATTTTAAAAATCATCCAGTAAGATTCTAGAGGGAAAATTAAAACATCTAGAAATGAGTGTCTTAAATAACTCACAAACTAGAAAATACATGTGAAGAATTTATATAAAATGCAGCACAAAAAGGCACACAGGGAGAAAACTTGAAAGGCAGATGATAGATCAAGAGTAGTGTGACAAGGTGCGGTAAGGCCTAATTTAACTTCCAAAAGGAGGAAATAGAATAAGGAAGAATCAGTTTTTGAAGAAACAATAAGAAATCTCCTAGAATTGATGGAAGACACCTACTCTAAGACACCTATTCTATAATCATAACCAATCTCCAAAGCAAGAAAAATCCATACTCAAACATACTGTGGTCAGATTGCAAAATAGCAAATATAAAAGTCAATCATAAAAGCAGCCAGAAAGAAAAGACATCTTTTCAAGGGACTGGCAATTAGATTGACAGCTACCTTGTCCATCCCAACTATGAAAGCCAGGGGACAGTGGAATGCCATTTTTAATATGCTGAATGAAAATAACTTACACCCTCAACAGAGCAAATGTAACATTCAATAATATGAGTAAAACAAATAATTAGAAAAACAAACCTTGAGGGAGTTTATTACCAGCAGACTCCTCTAATATTAGTTCTAGTGCATATCAGGGGAAACAAAGATGACTTAAGAAAGAAGGGATGCATGCAAAGAAAATAATAAACCTGTAGATAAAAATCTGTGCTGATGCAGACCAGACAGTACAAAAACATCTCATTTGAAGAGCTAAAAAATTAATAGATTTAAGGTGCTACATAATAACAGCACAAGACAATAATTGGACTGAAGCATTCTGAGGCCCTTAAATTATTCCAGAGAAAGTTAAAATTTGACTAATCTCAGAATGAATTAGAGTTAAATATGCATATTAAAATTTCTGTTAGCCTTAAAATGGAAATGCGAATATTAAATTTCAAAACAAGAGAAGGAAAAAATAAAGTGGGGCAAGAATGGAGGATCTCAAAGAATATAAAATAAGTGGAATGAAAATGATCTGCCAATAATCACATTAAATTGTTAGGATTAAAAGCAGATATTCATCAACAAATAACTAGACTTTTATAGGACAGATCTGTTTTATTTGTGGTTTTACATCAAAT